CTTTGGAACAGTAATGTGTATCCTGTACCATTGCATGTTGGAAATATGTCATTTACTTTTTGATTTTATGGGATGTTATAATTAAGAGATTGCCTTTAGTCTTAGAAGGGACTAGGCTGAGACTGAAAGACTATGAAACTTTTGAAGTTAGACTAAACACATTTTGCGTTATGATATGGCCATGAGTCTATGAGTTCAGGGAGTGGATCATGGTGGCTTGATGAGAGCCCCCCCGCCCCGCCCAGGCTAATATATTTGAATGTTTGGTCCCTAGGTGGTAGAAATATTTGGGAAAGATTAGATACTGTGGCCTTGTTGGAGGAGGTGTGTCACTAGTGTGTGCTTTGTGTTTTGAGGTTTCAAAATACTTCTGCAATTCCCAGTGTCTCTCTCTTCCTCCTACTTGAGGGTCAAGGGTGAACTCTCAGCTACTCCTGACCCCATGTTCTTGCTCTGCCATCATGGACTCTAATCCTCTGAAACTGTAAGCTTCAAATTAAATCATTTTTTTAATAAGTTGCCTTGATCAGCCAGGTGGTGGTGGTTCACATCTTTAACCCCAGCGCTTGGAAGGCACTGGGGAAATCTCTGAGTTCGAGGCCAGCTATGCAGAGAAACCCTATTTAAAAACAACAATCACAACCTAAGTTTCCTTGGTCAAAGAAATAGAAAAGTGACTAAGACAGTGAGTGGGGCAAGCAGCTTGGTCACCTATTTGATAGGACAGAGAAAAAGCTACCTGGACCAGCCAGCAAGATCTCCCAAGGCCAGGGGCTGGGCTTCAGGCATCTGAGTCAAAATTGAAACCAGAGGCATTCTGACAGCCCATAAAGGCTGCCTTAGAAAGTCTCTGGCTCCCATCTTTCAAATCCCTTCCTAAGGAACACACCAGGCAAGAGACTGAGATGAATCACTCTGTCCTCTTCCTGGTTTGCTCTTGGGTCCCTCTTCTTGAGTCGGACAGGTTCTGATCCTCTCCTGTGTTCCCAGAGCTGGGGTGAGAGCTGGATCAAGAGCCTGGAAGACAGCTTCGGCTAGTGCAAACACATCCCTTCTTCATCTGAGGTAGGGTAAGAGATGCCAGGCATAAGTTCCGGACCAGTCTAGGCGGCTCCTTGGCAAGATCCTGATGCTCTTGACTCCTTTCCTTCTCCTTCTTCTTTCCCTCTCCCCTCCTCCTCCTCATCATCCTCCTTGAGATAGCATCTCTGTGTAGCCTTTGCTATCCTGGAACTCACTATTGTAGACCAAGCTGATCTGGAACTCACAAGAGCTCCATCTGCCTCAGCCTCCCAAGTGCTGGGATTAAAGGTATATACCACCCAACTCTTCAATTTTTATTTTAAAAGTATTTATTTATATTATGTATTTATTTATTTTGAGACAGGGTCTCACTACATAGCCTGGAACTCTGTCTTCTGTCTTCCAAGTACTGGGATTAAAGGTGTGCACCACCACAGTGAGCTTTACTTTTATCTGTGTGTGTGTGTCCAAATCCAGAAGTGAGAGTTTGATCTCCTAAGGGGTAGAATTACCAGTGGTTGTGAGCAGCCTGATGTGAGGGCTGGGAACTGAACTCAGGCTCTCTGCAGGAGCAGTAGATCTTTACTCCTGAGCATCTCTCCAGCCCCTCTTTTTTTTTTTTCTTAACCCACGGTGTCTAGTTAGTGCTGTCTGCTGGGCAGCTAGCAGATATTATTGGCTTGGCCTTGTGCAGGCCTTATGCAATTGGCTATATTGACCGTGAGCTTATGACTTTGACAGTCATGTCATGTCCAGAAGACAGCATGCCACAGCACTTCTCCCCACCCCCCAGCTTTGGGTAAGAGGGTTTTATTTTTTTGTTTAATTTTTGTTTTGTTTTGCTTTGGTTTTTCAAGACGGGGTCTCTCTGTGTAGCCCTGTCTGTCCTGGAACTTGCTCTGTAGACCAGGCTGACCTTGAACCCACAGAGACCTGCCTGCCTTTGCCACTGGAGTGCTGGGATTAAAGAAATGCACCAGGACTGCCCAGTGGGCAAGAAATTTTAAATAAAGGAACTGGCCAGCTGAACCCCAGTAAGCCTGTTTCTCCTCCTTCCCAGGAGTCTGCTGGGGCTTCCAGGTGCCTCAGTCTTCACACATTTACCTTGACTTCCTACCTTCTCCTCCCTCTTCACACATGGAAATCAAAGTGAGTTTTAAAAGACTTACACAAATAAGAGCACTTGGGGCTGAAAAGGTAGTTCAGAGGTTAAGAGCACTGGCTGCTCTTCCAGAGGTCCTGAGTTCAGTTCCCAGCAACCACATGGTGGCTCACAACCATCTGTAATGAGATCTGCTGCCCTCTTCTGGCCTACAAGCACACATGCAGGCAGAACACTGTACACAATAAATAAATCTTTTAAAAAATATTATAGCACTTATTTTTGTTATTGCTGTTTTTTTTAATCCCTATAAATATTGTTGTGGGTGGGGGGAAGGATTGATTCTAAATGCATAAGTGAACAGTATGACCTGGCTCAGTCCCCCATTCAGGCTCCTTGCCCCAGGTGTGGCGGTACTATTGGCTGATAGCCTCCTCTGAGGTCAAAATCACCTCAGCCACACAACATGACGTCATCCAAAGTGATACCTCCCTAGGTCTCTATATTCTCAGTTGAGTAGAAAGAGCAGCCAGCAGCCCAGCCCCAGATACCCCGGAAGGATGCTCTAGTTCTAGAGCGTCCCGTGGGCCGACCAAGTCTGATGCTGGACTTGGACCCCGGATCTCGTAGTGCGCATCCTGCTTCTGTCTCCCTTGTGCAGGGACTGATTAAGCCCAAAGAACACCTAAATAGATTTCACGTGCAAAAGCCAAGCCAAGCACACAGCCTAAAACAATCCTCTGGCCTTATACAGCAATGTGAATGAATGTTTTATAAATATAAATATATAATTTCTATTTTATTTTTTGACAGGGTCTCCCCCTAGCTGACCCTGAACTCACTATACAGTTGAGGTTGGCCTCAAACTTGTGGCTCTTGCCTCAACCTCCCTTACATGTACAATCCACTATGCCCAACTATAAATATGTATTTATAAAATACATACATTGAGACAGGGTTTCACGTAACCTAGGCTAGCCTGGGACTCATAGGTAGTAAAGGATAACCTAGAATTTATAAGCCTCCTGCCTCCTCCTCTAAGGGGCTGAGACACAGGCATTTGACCCAAGCCAAATTTATGGCGTTCTGGGGACCCAAGCCAAGACCTGGTGCATGTTAGGTTTCACTGCGTAACTACGCCATTAGCCTCTGTTTGGCTTTTTGAGACAAGTTTCACTGTGTAGCCCAGGCTGGCCTCAGGCTCCTGAATGCAAGGATTATCACTGTGCACAGTTAAGGCTGGTAAATACGTCTGTGTTTAACACCAGCCAAGCCTTCTGCATACTCTGACGCTTGCCTGTGTTTCTCATCTCCTGCCATGGAAGCCTTTCCCCACCCATTACCTCATTTGAAATCTCAACTTCATAGCACTCCCTGCTTTTCATTCTTGATATTTGTTAGTTATCACTAACACACACACACATACTCACACACTTGCTGTGTTTCTTTTGTCTCTTCTGTAGAACACAAACTTCATGGGCAGGCAGGAGTTCAAGCTGCATAGTTCCTACAGTAGCCTAAGCTCAGGAGTGTCTGGCCCATGGAAGGTATTCAACTGTTTCTATCATACTATTCCTGGAACCCAGAAAATGGAATTAATATAAAGTGAATGAAGGAAGGGAGGAATGAGGCAGTGTGTACCATCTGGCTCCTCTAAAAGCCGTTTCACTTTCAGGGACCTCGCTTCTCTCTGGTGACCTCTCCAGATGCCCACAACCACGTCTGCGCTCTGATATGTAAGCCTCGAATCAGACTCCTGGATGCTGGTCAAGTTGGTCTGTGGCTACAAGTCAGGGCTTTGGACACAAACCCTGTGGGACTAATGAAGGGACATTGCCATCGGGAAGCCTCTCCCTACACAGTGAGGCTGCTGATGCAGCTTGCAAGAGACCCAAGGACGATCCTGCTCCCGCAGCCTGACCTCTCAGAGGGAAGGGACAAGCCTGCAAGTTCACAGTCCACTGACCAACACTTCCAACAAAAAAAAGAAAAGTGAAGCCTGGGTTGTAGCTTAGTGGCTTAGCCCACACCTAGCATGCATGATTCCCAGAACCATAAAAATAGCCGAGTAAATAAAAACATCAGACAATTAATTTCTGATACCCCACTCTACCTAACTCCCAACACAAGCAAGCGAGGGGGTGTGACGTGGAGAGGAAGACACCCAGTGACTATGCTCTGAGGCTTTCTGTCCAGTTCCTTATTTGTTTTCCCCATCCTCAGCATTACCACATCTCCCGTGTGATAGGCAGGGGTGGTGGAGGATGTCTATGTCAGTCAGTATCATCCACCCTATTTCTACACACCACCCCACCCCACCCCACAGACACAGCTAGCTTCAAGCTACCCTGTGACCACTCCAGACTAAACCTCAGTCTTTGCTCTGGTACCCCATTATCTCTAGAACCAGCTAAGCCCCCCAGTCGGTGACACCTCTTGTCGTAGGGTTCTCTTCTTTTCCTATCTCTTACGTATATGGACCAAATCAATTTTCCAGGCATCTCCTTCCTTCTGGGCCAGCCTCTTATTATATTCTACTGCAGGTCACTCTTTCACCTACCTGCCAGATCTCCCCAAATCAGCAGCAGTCTAACCCACTAGGCACTCTTACAGGGGCTTGCCATTTCTTTCATCTTCCTCTCTGTCTTCATAATTGCCCCAGACAGTGGCAGGACTCAACCTCCCCACTCTGCAGATGAAGCAACAAAGGCTTCGAGATGAAGAGATCGGTAAGAGTCATCCCAGCTCATTTCTCCTTCCAACCCAGTAATTGGCACCGCCAACCACCAAGATGCCCGAAACAAGCATCGCTCGTCCCCACCACCATCCTTCCCAACTACGCAGACCAGACTGAATTGCTTCTCAGGCAGCTCACCCCTCTCCAGCGATATCTCCTTGGTCCACGGGAGTTGACACGCCCCTCCCCGGATGCTTGTCAAGGTCTCCCTCTCTGCCTTCAGTATGGCCCTACCCATTCTATACATTGCTCCGCTTGCTTCTCCCGCACATACTCATTCAACCCACTCATTCAACAAATGGTTATTGAGAGGTTAATGTGTGCCAGGCACTGCCCAGGATACAAGGGTATAACAATGAAACAAGCAAAACCATTGTCTTCATGCAGCTAGCCATCCCACGAAGTGGTGAGGGACTCAAGTAAATTTGCTGTGTTCCATGGTGGTAGCTGCTACAGAAAGGAACAGAGCAAAAGAGGAAACCAGAGAGCACTCAGTCAGGAGGTGGGAAGGAAGGAAGGCCTCTCTGAGCCTACGCCTGCAGAGGTGGGGGAGCATCGTCTCACCTACACCTGTGGCTGGACCAGGCAGCTAGAACATCCAGTGCAAATCCTGGGAAAGAACAGAGCTTTGCAAACTCATTCTTAAGGAAGGATGCAGAGACCTACAAGACCAGAGGAATCAGAAAAGAGGGAGGGGCATAGTGGTACAAACCTGTAATCCTAGTACTCGGCTGGCTGAGGTAGAAGGACTAGCATCTAGTGCTAGGCTAGCTCAGGCTACATAGTCTAGGCCAGGCTGAGCTACAGAATAAGGCCAAAACCCAAAAAGAACCAGTGGTACATATCAGCAGCTTAAGATACCTGCCACCAAGCCTGATAGCTTGAGACTGACCCAGGAAGCACAAGGTCAAAGGACAGAAACAACTCCCTCAAGTTGCTCTCTGAGTTCTCCATGCATGCCGTGGTGTGCTCACTGTATAAATAAATAAACAGTCGTAATTTTCTTAGAGACGGGAGGGGTGAGATTTGGCAATGGCCTCGCTTCACAGTGTCTGCCGATCATCATGAAAACACTGGCTTTGTGAGAGGTAGGGTTGCTGGGTGGAACCGTGATGCGATCCACCTCACCTGTTAGCAGGATCCCTCTACCTTCGGTGTGGAGAGTAGACAGCAGGGGAGACGAGCCAGGCGGCCACTGTAGCAATGCAGAAGAGAGATGGTGACAGCAGGAACCAGACTGCTGACCGTGGAAGTGGCAAGGAATGGCCAGACGCCCGATGAGGTACGACAGTGGTGCTGACAGGGGCTGCAGCTACCTCATGTTGGGTGTAAAATGAAGAACCAGGAATGACATCGGAGATGATGAGAATCTGATGGCTCCCCTAGTCACTGCTGTGCTTAGGTTGGCCCAAACTGTTAGCCAAGGGTTATAAGGTACTTCCTGATGCCAAGGATTGTAGGGTACTTCCTGATCTCTTCCTGTCCCATGATTTTCCAGGACCAATGAGTATTAATAGTACCAAACAGTTATCGGATGTTGACCTCATGCCTGGCCTGTACTGAGCGCTTGGTGAATGCTCTCATCATTCTCCACAAAAATCCAATGAAGGGAATGCTGTGATTTGCCTTTTATCATTAATATACCCATTTAACAGAAGAGGAAAACAAAGCACAGAAAGGCTAAAGAACTTGATCTGGTCGCAAAGACAGAAAATAGGAAACTTTGAATTTGAACCCAGAACTGTTTTCTTTTTTTCTTTCTCTTTCTTGTTTTGAACGTTGGGGATTGAGACCTGGCAAACGGAGCCTGACACACAGGCCCCGGTCATGACCTAGGGATCGATGAATCTCAGACTTTCCACCTCTTAAGGCAAGGTCACACGGCCTCTACTAGTGTCCGGGGCCTGTGTGTACCCTTGCCCCCTGCCTGGTAGATATTTACAGCCGCTTTCCCTGAGCGCTTACTTTGCACTTAATGGCATTTTGCATAATGCACCGTCACCCAACCATCCACGACATGAATAGGATGAGCTCCATTCTACAGGTAAGAAAACTGAGGCCTTCTCAAGTTCAGCGAATTCCTAGTCGGAATGCAGTTGGGCCTTGCTAATCACATTCTGATGAATCGAACTTGACCGTTGGCAAAGCCTGACACAGAACCCACAAGTCAACAAGTGAACAAAGCGGCAGTCCAGGCTGAGGGGCGGGAGAGAAAGGGCTCCCCTCCTCCCTCCTCAGCCCTCTCTCTTCATTCATCTCCCCTTTGCGCCCTTAATAAAAGCCCGGAGATTGACCGATGGAGGGGGCTGATTTCCCCGTGAGAGAAACATCCTTTACACAAGAACATTCAAACAGGATCAGAATTCGTCCGCGAGGCACCGGCTTCATGGGGACGGAGAGTTGTGGGAGGAGGCAGTGCAGAGGGATGAGGAACGATCTTTTATTTATTTATTTCCCTCTAGGAGCCTTCACCTTTCATTAAAACAGCCTCCGGATGTAGGTGCAATCAAACATTCATTAGACAAGCAAGGTACATTTAAGAAAAAGCTAACAACGCCCAGCGCGCGCGCGCGCACATCCACACATGAAGCCATAATCAATCTGCGAAATGAAACCAGGTCCTTCAGGCGAGAAAAGCAGACCCTGTTCCTCCGCACCCAGCTCCCCAGACCCTGAGTCCCGGTCTCTCCCACGATCCCGCACCTGCGGAGGGCGGGACCTGCACCCCATTCTCAGGGCCTCTGGAGAGGGACAAAAAAGCGGGGGGGGGGGGGCGGGGGTGTCCCTCCCAGCTGCTGAACCTTGGCAGGTTTTTCCATGATCTGAAAGCTCACAGTTTTTGCATCTGTCCCCAAACCTAGACTCCAACGCTGAGCTCATCCCTCGCCCAACACAACCCCCTGCTTAGGATAGTGGGGCTGCGGGCAAGTGTCCCACAATGTTGGTCCCCCCGTCCTGTCAATCATGAAGGGCTTCCCGGAGGAGGGGATGGCAGAGGAGCGGGGGGAATGGGGGTAAGAAAGCCGCTTGACAGATGGGGAGTGGGAGGCTCTTCCCAGCATATGGGGCTGCGTGGGTGGAAGGAGTCTGGGCCGGGCGGGGGATGGGGCGCTGGGCTGCGGAGACAGTCCTTGGAGAGCGGGACACGCGCTGGAGTGGGGGTGGGCGTGTGAACCGGACGGAGGAGAGGGGAGGTAACCCCCAAAGGTGGAGGCGGGGAGTGGGGGCTGCCACGGCCGAATTCACCCCGGAGGAGCTGGGCGCCCAGCACCTTGCACAAGGGCGCCCCCTGATGGCGCCTCGGGAGTCAAACGCAATTTCTATTTTCTGGTGGAAAAAATCAGCTTAGTGGAATCCTTTTTTCTTTTTTCTTTCTCTCTTTTTGTGGCAAGGTCTCATGTAGCCCAGGCTGTCCTCGAACTCGTTATATTGCGAGGGATGACCTTGAACTTCTGATCTTCTTGCCTCCAACACCGCAGCACTCTTGGGTTACAGGAGTATGGTAACACACCCGGTTCAAATTTAATCAGATACAAGCTCCCACTGGACTGAGACCGCCCTTCCAGAGGCGGCCCAGCCCACTTTACAGAGCAGAGAATCGAGGCCAGAGAGGTCAAAGAGGCTGATCTCAAAGAAGCAGAATTCTAATCCATGTTTTTGTTTCCTCAACACGAAAGCAGAGCCTCATGCAGGAGATACACTGCAGGCCATAAATAAACAGGCCCTTGGCTTCCTGTGGGCTCGTAGTCTAGATGAGGAGGACCTAGACTAACAAATGAGCAAAATAATGTCCCGCTGAGGAGTAAAGGAACCCCGTGTGTGAGGGACCAGCTTCCCTCAGCCTGCCTCCCCCTCAGCGCTCCCCAGGAGACCAGGATGTGTCAGCCTTGGCTTCAAGGCAGGCAACAAAGGCTCTGAGGGTGGAACTGAGATAGAGGAGTTCAGATCCCCATGGGCAGAGCACGCCCATCCCTAGTGTGACTTCCATGTTCTGCCACTAGCACCTGCAACCTCGGGCTCTTCCACTTTGGCCTAGCAACTGAATGATTTCCTCATCCCAACACATTGAGGTTTTAATCTGTCTTTATAGAGCAGCCCAGCTGCCCGGGGTGGGGTGGGGGGTTATTACTGGGTTTTCCGTACATTCATCCTGGCTGCTCTAACCAAACAGGTTCTGAGACGAAGTAGGGAGGGGTCTGCACTCTGGAAAATTTTATGGGAACACCAAGGTTTGATGTGGGCAGAAGCCTGGAGCATTCAGGCAACAGAAGTCAGGATTTCAGCCCTGCCTTCGAGGCTGGGCTGCAGTCAGAGTGTTGGACTGGGGTGTGAAGGGGTGGAGTTTTAGTCCACAAATTGAGCTCAGAACACTGGGCTGTGCTGGAAGAACCAGGCCACTGTTTGGGCAGCTTTGCAGCTCCAAGCAGAGCGTAGAAGGGAGGAGGCTGAAACAAGCCCAGTAGGCTATCAGATGCCTGTAATCCCAGCACACATACAGGTGGCCAGAAGCAAGAGGATCAAGGCAAGCTTAAGGCCAGCCTTGTCTACAGAATGAATTCCGGGCCAGCCAGGGCCACATAGTGAGATCCTGTCTCAAGGAATCAGCAAACAGAAAGAAACGTGTGCTAGTTCTAGGTCAGTGTTTACAGTCTAGACGTCCAAGGGTCACTTGGTAACTCCCTTGTAAAATGGGAGTGACTTCTACATCCTACATCTACTTAGCAAGTTGGTCTCTGCAGCAGCACTTCAAAGAGTAGACAATGATGCCGGCAGTAAGGGAGGAGGAGGCCTGGTGGACAGAGGTGCCGAGCCCACGGAAAGGACTCTTACTGTTGAGTCACAGCCGAAGATGCTGATTAGAGAAGTGTGACACCCATACCTGCTGCCCCCACATTTGGTCAGTGGCAGACACACTCAGCCTCTGACGATTGTTCGGGCTTGCAGCTGAGGTAACCCTCCCCTGCCTTCAGCCCCGCCTGAGACTGGAGACACAGGTTCCCACTTGCTGACTCTATTTCTATGGCGCTAGTGGACATTTGAGTCTGGCCTCTCAAGTGTATAATCTCAGCCTGACTCCTCCCTGGGCCAAGCTCCAGCACCCTGGCCTGGCCTGGGGCTGTCTACCCTTGCTACTTTAGCCTCTCCTGCCTCTCTGTCTTTGTGTCTATAATTTGTTCTTTCTGTGACAATTTCACTTCTAAGCTCCAACCTTTGGAGGAAGAGGGACTTTGTCTACTGAGTCTTCAGTAGTAGATTATCA